ACTAACTGTTTTCAGTCCAGTGTATCTTCAAGCAATTGTTAAGCTGCCAATTGTTAAGTCAGGACTACTTGTATTTTCTCCAAAAGCTATAATGTCCTCTCAAGGTAACTTAAACAGTGCCATCATTCACGATAAAAGGGAATCCAGACCATTTTAGTCGAATTAAATAATTACAGAATTTAAGTGCATCAGATACACACATGAAGGTGGATGAGATAATTATTTTAATGAACTGCAGTACTAAGTTTTAGATCAAATTGGTGTTTCACGCAGAAAGAGCTTCCTTCTTTTAATGCTGAACTTCTGTAGACTCAATCCTTCTTCCCTTCTCTTTCTCACAGACTTTCTACAAGTATACGAGAGCTACAGAATTTCAAAGTCTTATTGCAACAGAAAAGTTAACGAATGCTTTGTACTTATTGGTAGAAGCAGCCACTAATTTAACACCAGACAAAATGAAGCCAATCTGCATACATGACTGTTCTAGAAGGGCAAGAATATATATAATTCCAACTTGAATATTTAAAATAGAAAAGGTTAAGACATTGGACAAACTATGGATAAAATACCTGGCTTTAATTATGTAAATTATGCTTGTTTTCAGTTGTTTCACTATTCTTACTCTCTACTACTTTTGTTTCATTATCATTCAAAAGAAATGTTGCCTCTCTTGCTTTACATCACCATGCAAGAACCTCATCCAGGCTGCGTTGCTCACATGGAAAAGATTCTTGCAGTGTTTCCTAAAAATACCTGGTGGAAATGCTTTTTTAATATTTATTTGGAGGAACTGATGATATGTAAGAAAAATGTTTTCTTGCATTTGTATTTCATTTTTCTGTTACAGTCTCTTTCATGGCCAGTAAATATTTTACTAAAATATCCATCCAGGGGAACTAGTTATTGGGGAATCTCAAGTTATTTTTGTGTTTGCCTCCTTGCCCTCTTCTCCTTTCCTTTTTATTTCATTTTTTTCTACAGCATAGCTGCTTTCTCTGTGAGGAGACAAAACTGGATTAAATTACTTTATCAGTTTTTATTCTGATAATGAAAGGCTTTTCCCATTAAGTGCTGCTAGCTTAAAATAATTCAGCTCTAGCTTTAGAGTCAGGGACCTTAATCTTCCATTTCAAAAACATTACAAATTCCTCTTATTCTGGTGCTCTTCCATTCAATTCAAATACAATAAAAAATAAAACTAAATATTTTCACAGACAAATGTCCACTTTTTTTAAAAAAAAAAAGCAACTTCCAGAATTCAACAGGGCACATTCTATCTATGCAATCTCTAATTACACCTTTAAAAATATAGTATCTAATAAAATGGATATTCTATACATTTGTTCCTAAATCTTTATCTACAAAGGGGAATCTAGTTATCAGAGAACTGTTGCAGGTAATAAACATTAAAATTCTTAATCTGCAGTAGGAGGAAGTCTGTAAATTGTGAAGGAGCAGCTTATTTAAAAACTGTTTGTAATGTAATATTTGTATTTTGTGAGGGAATGAATGTCAGTTTAAGTACAATATACAGATTTGTACATATTTTGCTTTGCTTTGATAAGTAAAACAATATTTACAAAATGAATTAAAAGTGCTCTTAAAATCTTATAATTTAAGACATGTCTACTGTTGGTGGTGCTGTGTGTATGTGTGTGTGTGTGTCTATTTGTACGACATGCTTTAAGCAACATAATTCCATAAGTTTGTGGTTTAAGTTTTTAAAAATGAAGATTATGAGCTATATATTTACCCACATGTGAAAGTTTCCAGTGATAACTAAATTAAGAAAAATTGTAATGTTTTTGTCCTTATAATTTAAGTTTTCATTGATAATTAAATAGATAGTGAGCCATATTCTAAAGATTGCATTCAGTTCAGGGCTTAGCAAATATGAACTTCAGGTCTTCATGGTAGATAAGAATAGTTTTGTGGTAACATATTCTGAAACTAGGGAAACTGCTATGGGCCTTATAATTTAACGTTACTGGTAAGATCGGATTCTTATCAATTAGCTTTATTGTATCCAATTTGTGATGAATCACACATAAGACTTTATCCAGTGGAATGGATATTATTTTTGTGAATTCATCCATTTTTCATACCTTTCCCCAATATTTAATCCAAAGGATAATGGGAAAATTCAAAATAGTCTAGTGCCATGATGGCAAACCTATGGCACGCATGCCAGAAATGCCACACAGACCCTTCTCTCTGGGCAAGCCAGCTGTCGCCTGTTGCTCTTCCCGGTTCCGGCAGGCATGTGGGAGCACCGGAAACCAAAAGAGCAAGTCCCCGGTGTGTATGTGCACTCTGGGAAGCTGCTTCCCATTTTTGGGGTGCACATGCATGCTGGCCAGCTGGTCTTCATATGTGCATGCATGCCAGAAACCAGAAGAAGCAGGGGCCAACATGCAAAACTGGAAGCTCAGCTTCCCGATGCGCACCGGGGAGCTACTCTTCTGGTTTCCAGTGCTCCCCTGCGCGTGTGCTCCTCTTTCGGCACTCGGTGCCAAAAAGGTTTGCCAATACTGGTCTAGTGTGTTGCCATTACCACCCCCACCCCCCACTCAAAATGCTGAAGGAGATTTGAACAGATTCAGAATTTGTGGGAAATTTTTTAACTGTATTTCCTGTTGTTGTGACACAACTTAAGTACAATCCTTAACTACAATTTTATTTGGGACATGAAATGAGAAATTTATATAAGGAAATCGACAATTTGGTGTTATTTGTTTGTTATCAAATATCTAGATTAGGTTTCTAGTCCAGCAAAGATTTGATAATACCGTGTTGATTAATTCCTTTTGGCTGAGGAATTTTTCAGTAGTTAGAACTAGTAACATTGTCAAATATCTGTGGAATGGCAAGATGAAGCACAGTCACCTATGAATGTCTTTAGATGCTGTGGAGCATGAGATGTCCACAGGTTTTCCAGAGAGTTCTAAATAATGAAGCCTATCAGGTCCCAGTTAGAATACCATTTGCAAAGGACTCTTTAAAGCTGGTCATGTGTATGACATGATACACTAAAATACTTCCTGTGTGACTGAGGGCAATAAAGAGAATCTTTTAAAGGTAGTCCTCAACTTATCACTGCAATGGAGCCTGAAATTTCAGTCCTAAGTCATTGTAAAGGCACCGCATGACCAGATTCAATTTTTACAACAATCATGAAGTAAGTCACCATAGTTGTTAAGCCAACCATGTGATCCTTAAGTGAATCCAACATATCCATTGGACTGGAAACCAGCAAAAAATGTTGCAAATTGCAATCGTGACCGCAATTGTGAATGTGAGCTCATTACAAAGTGCCTGAAAGGCAATTATAGGAGGAGATACAGCAATTGTAACTTTGAGGATGGGTGGTAAGTAGCTTTTTTGAAGCTTGTCATAACTTTGAACAGTCATAAAGCACTGGTCATCAAATGAGGACTATGTACTGTTTCTGATGTATACCTCAGTTTTTATTTGTTTGATTTTGTTTTGGGTTTCATGTCGTCTGCCCTGGAAACTATTATTTTACTACTTTCAACAACCTGTTACAATAATTTTGCAGAGCATTTTGAGATGCAGTTTGCCACTCAGACACGTGTGGTGGTTTGTCCCGTCATTTGTTATCTTGCCTCTTTCCCATCATGGCTACTTTAAATTAGCTTAAAGGGATTAACTGATGGGTTCAGGGTTGGGGGAAAGCTTCTTTGCATTAGGACAGGTTCCTGGTTGCCCTTACAGAGGTCACAATTTAACCTCACCAGGAAAAGCTTTCTTGGATCTGGAAGATTGTAATTGTCATCTAAGATTGAATACATGGACAAGTATTTATAATAATTGTAAATTGCTTTGGGAACTTTAAAATAATGTACAGGAAGTCCTCAACTTATAACCACAACTGAGCCCAAAATTTCCACTGCTAAGCAAGACAGTTGTTAAGGAGTTTTGCTAAATTTTATGATCTTTCTTGCCCCAGGTGTTAAATGAATCACTGCAGATGTTCATTTTGTAAAACTGTTCTTAAGTGAATCTGGCTTTCTCACTGTCTTTGCAAAAGATGATCACGTGACTCTGAGACACTGCAGCCATCACAAATACATGCCAATTGTCCAGTGTCCAAATTTTGATCAGAACACCATTTTGATTACACGGGGATGCTGGAATGGTCATAAGGCGTAAAAAACTATCATCAGATTTCTTCTGTGCCATGGAAACTGTGAATGATCGTTAAATGAATGGTTGAAAGTCAACGACTACCTGTATAAATATTTTTCATAAAATATTTAGAGTTAAATACACATTACATAAGGCATGTGCATAAAGATGTGTTTTGTTGGATAGGTCACAATCTTGCAGACTGACTATGGGAGGAGAGAAAGTAAGAAGTATACTCTTAGGTCTATTTTGAAAAAGGATAGATAGATTGGATTGTTTTTCCTTACAAATGAACATCCAAAGTGAAGAAAATTCAGAAATGTAGTGCAGAATCGAAGTACACATGCAAATAGAAATTTTATGTACACTGTTTAGAGAAGATCGGGCCATGACAAGTAAACTCCAATTTATTATATGGATTGCTGAAGCTAACACAACTGTAAACTGGATCTCAGGGCAAATTCTTTGTTTTTTTTTAAAGTTAGTAGCTTCCTGGTATAATCAAAGAGGACAGGAAATTGAAATAAAAAGTAGACAGTTTTAATGGAACACAGCAGTTCTTCCAATCTGTCACCCTCACTCATGCATGAGTAAATGTATACAAAATTATTTTAATGACCAATTTACTAAAACTAATAATACATTTTAAATAAATTTGCATGTTAATGTAGGTCAAAAACCATCAACGTAAGTTTCACTGGACATTATATTGTACAATTAAATTAATATTTTAAACACCACCAGGTCTATACATATTCACATTTTAAATATTTGACTTTTTTCAAAATTTAGAGTTTTTCAAACAATTTTCTAAATTGTAAATACAGAAAACAGATTTTTTTCATCAACTCAACTCTTTAAAACTCAAATATTTTTAACATTATAAACTCTCAGTTCTTTTGTACATAATTTAAGTATGTAAGTCCTTGCAAAATAACCCTTCTTACTAAAGTTGAATAAAGGGGAGAGAGTATCATTGGTCTCTTGTTATATTGGGCTTCGTCGCTGAGAATCTGAAATGAAATCATGTTGTAGGGATCCAACTTGAACCATTAAGCTGTTATTTAGATATCCCCAGTCATAGGATTCAGGAGAGAAGCTAGAAGATAAAAACAATGTACTTTGTAAAAAAATGTAAAAGTTTAATAGTGTTTCAAGTTATGCAATTTTATAAAGCTGTTCAAATGCATTTTACTACTTATATTCTGACTGTGTAGACCTATTTGACCAGACTTGCTTGGCCTAAATTTTATACAAAATTGTTAATCCAGGACATGAAAAATTTCATTTTAACAATTTTCAATTACATACAGTTTCTATTTATATAAAAGGCATTTTGATTAAACAAAGAATGTATAGTATCAAAGGTATTTTACTTATTGATGATGTACACTGCTCCAAAAAATAAAGGGAACACAAAAATAAGACATCCTAGAACTGAATGAATGAAATATTCTTATTAAATACGTTGTTCATTACATAGTTGAAAGTGCTGACAACAAAATCACGCAAAAATTATCAATGGAAATCAAATTTAGCAACCCATGGAGGTCTGGATTTGGAGTTACACTCAAAATTAAAGTGGAAAAAAAACACTACAGGCTGATCCAACTTTGATGTAATGTCCTTAAAACAAGTCAAAATGAGGCTCAGTAGTGTGTGCGGCCTCCACCTGCTTGAATGACCTCCCTACAACACCTGGGCATGCTCCTGATGAGGTGGCAGATGGTCTCCTGAGGGATCTCCTCCCACACCAGGACTAAAGCATCCCCCAACTCCTGGACAGTCTGTGGTGCAATGTGACGTTGGTGTATGGAGCGAGACATGATGTCCCAGATGTGCTCAATTGGATTCAGGTCTGGGGAACGGGCAGGCCAGTCTACAGCATCAATGCCTTCGTCTTGCAGGAACTGCTGACACACTCCAGCCACATGAGGTCTAGCATTGTCTTGCATTAGGAGGAACCCAGGGCCAACCGCACCAGCATATGGTCTCACAAGGGGTCATAGGATCTCATCTCGGTACCTAATGGCAGTCAGGCTACCTCTGGTGAGCACATGGAGAGCTGTGTGGCCCCCTAAAGAAATGCCACCCCACACCACTGACCCACTGCCAAACCTGTCATACTGGAGGATGTTGCAGGCAGCAGAATGTTCTCCATGGCGTCTCCAGACCTGTCACGTCTGCCACATGTGCTCATTGTGAACCTGCTTTCATCTGTGAAGAGCACAGGGCACCAGTGGCGAATTTGCCAATCTTGATATTCTCTGGCAAATGCCAAAAGTCCTGCACAGTGTTGGGCTGTAAGCACAACCCCCACCTGTGGACGTCGGGCCCTCATACCACCCTTATGGAGTCTGTTTCTGACCATTTGAGCAGCCACATGCACATTTGTGGCCTGCTGGAGGTCATTTTGCAGGGCTCTGGCAGTGCTCCTCCTGTCCCTCCTTGCACAAAGGTGGAGGTAGTGGTCCTGATGCTGGGTTGTTGCCCTCCTATGGCCTCCTCCACGTCTCCTGCTGTACTGGCCTGTTTCCTGGTAGCGCCTCCATGCTCTGGACACTACGCTGACAGACACAGCAAACCGTCTTGCCACAGCTTGCATTGCTGTGCCATCCTGGATGAGCTGCACTACCTGAGCCACTTGTGTGGGTTGTAGACTCCATCTCATGCTACCACTAGAGTGACAGCACTGCCAGCATTCAAAAGTGACCAAACCATCAGCCAGAAAGCATAGGATCTGCGAAGTGGTCTGTGGTCACCACCTGCAGAACCACTCCTTGATTGGGGATGTCTTGCTAACTGCCTATGCTTTCCACCTGTTCCATTTTCTATTCCATTTGCACAACAGCATGTGAAATTGATTGTCAATCAGTGTTGCTACCTAAGTGGACAGTTTGATTTCACAGAAGTGTGATTGACTTGGAGTTACATTGTGTTGTTGAAGTGTTCCCTTTATTGTTTTGAGCAGTGTATGTTTGCAACATTCATTACCTGTTAGGTTGTCTTTAAGTTCTTTGTGTAGATTGGTTCATTGATGAAGTAATTCATTTTCTTTTTCTAAACTGTATGATTTATTGATGGAAAGTGTAAACCCCTCCCCTGAGATTTTTCTGTGACATACACAAACAAGGCTTAAAGTTATATAAACCTAAGAAAAGTACCGTGTTTCCCCGAAAATAAGACCCAGTCTTATTTTCTTTTTGTGCCCTAAATAAGCACCAGGTCTTATTTGGGGGGGATGTCTTCCCATATACCTTAGGACCGCCACAGCCAGGCCTACCATGCCCTGACACCAGTTGTGCAACTACCTGACTTCTGTGGCATGTTGTGCCATTGTGCACACAAGCGGTGGCACTGATGCATCACATGCGGCCTCCTGCCATAAGTGATGGCACTGGAGCAATGTGCCACATGGCATCTGGCTGCAAGCAGCAGAACTAGCTACAGAAGAAGTCAGGCAGTGACATGACAATTGTTGGGGCATGGGAGGTCTGGCTGTAGCAGCCCTAAGGTAAGCGGGGGTGGGGCACATGGGGCAGCTCCACTCCTCCCCACCCTAGCTTGAGTTTTACACATGTACCTTGCCCCACCTCGTACAACCAGACAATGGGACTGAGTGGGCAGGGTTTTAACTAGTGCTTATTTTAGGGGTAGGGCTTATTTTAGGGGTAGGCACACGTGGCAAAATCAAGCTAGGGCTAATTTTTGGGTGAATCATATTTTCAGGGAGACACTGTATACTGTGCTGTGCTATATATACTATGGTAATGGACTGCAAGGTATGCATGATTATTGTGAATAAAATATTAGTCTGTGTCACAAGTCTGTTTACTTGTGTAATGGATTAGTCCACTCTTAATTGGATTTTGAAAGAATTTTTTTCACCAGTTGTTCTAATGAAACCACTACCTGCATACTTTTTTTGAATTTTTCTAGAACCCTGAAGCCCTTTGTGAAGTTACACCATTCCTTTGTATGATCTATATATGTATATTTGTCCTACCTGCCATATATGCTATGTGGTGATATGCTCCACGCCAAATCATCATCACTGTCATATCTGCGAGGATTGTCAAAGAAATAAGTTCTTGGGTTAAAAGCATGAGTTGGTACTATTGCTGGATTCGTCTGGAGAAAAAAGAAAAGTTATTTCTAACTGAAGCTATTCGTTGTAGAAATTTATTCTTTAGTTTCTTTTAAAAAAGAAAAATGTAAATACTTAGAATCACAGATTAGAATGGAACACTTAGGTCATCAAATCCAACCTCTAGTCAGTGCAAAAAATCCAAACAGAAGCATCCCTGACAAACGGTTATTGTTTTCCCATTAATTATCCAAAGATTGGGCGCCCACAATCTCTCTGGGTTACTAGTTCTACTGTTGCTCTTATAGATACGAAGCTTTCCCCCTAATATTGAGTTGAATTCTGCCTTTCTGTAACTTAAACCCATTGTTATTATCAGATTTAATATGCATACAATCTGGTTCAAACAAGTGATTAGTAAAAATAATGAAGATTAGAGGACCCAGGACTGGTTCTTGTGGCACTCCTTTTGATAACCGTCAGCAGAATAAGAAACCCTTTAGTATTTTCACATCAGGCCACTTATTGTCAAGCCATACACCACATACCAAACTGCCTTACAAATCAGTATGACATGTGGGACTTTATCAAATATTTTGCTAATGCTAAGCTTTGTTAACAATCTTACAGAAGTTATATAGTCAACAGAAAGACCAGATTGGTCTGGCAAGACTCTTGACAAATCTGTTTATTTCTGATAACTTATCACATTGTTCTAAGATAATCCCCTTAAGATTTGCTTTAGAGTTCTCCTGTCAGATTGACTAGTCTGTAGTTTGCTCATTTTTTTTCAAGGCAAAGGGAAGATAAGAAACTCTTGTTGTTCTGAGAGTACTTTTAAGGTCCAGCAGGATTTTTTAAGTTATGTCTAAACATCTACAAGTAACAAAATGTTTTAGGGGTTCTGTACATTATGCTTTACATATAAATTATCAATTGTCCCTCCTGTAGTAGAAGATATTTCAGGTTTGGAAGGAGCCTTTCCAGTTTTTTCTTAGTAATTCAATTGCTTTGACTGTTCAATGTCTCAAATAAAAATTTCTACCAATTAATTTGAGCAATGGTCTGATTTTCATTGAATTTCAAAACAGTCACTTCCACTTTTTCATAGATATCCAGATATTTTTTTTCTTCAACTCATTTGTCATTAGTTCAATCACTTGCTGTTAGAATTCTGATGTTACAAATTGAATATATAACTTCAAATAAAAATCCACATAAATGATTAGATCATGCATAATATCAATAAAATCCTTTATTTACCCCATATACAAAATTATATATAACATTGTATCTCTTCAGTGACATTCTGGTATGCTGATTAGTCTAAGATTATCTTATTTTGTTTTTAGATAAAACTTTGACTCAATATATATTTAGCTCTCTTTAGAATGTGTTACTAGTGGTGAGGTTTATGTTATTTGCAGATAAAATTTGGACATGGGAATGGCAAAACAGAATAATGCGGGGGGGAACCTCAGTAAAAATGGTTTCCACTGCAAAGTTATATTGATAGAAATCAAACAATACCCTGCATCTTCTATTAATTTAAATATTTTTTCCTTTCCCATATAAATTTTCTTTTATGCAGATAAGTATTCTTTTAAACTACTATACCTTCTGGTGGCTTACTGCCAGAATATGTAATGTTACTAACTTAAGAAAACTGGAAAAGAATTTTCTGTTGACAGTTGGTTTTCTGGTAGTAAGAAAACATGGCCTGTTGAGATTGTACAGATATCTCCATATATTTATATGTATATCCCTAATGTTTTGTTTCTGACAAATGGTACGAACAATATTGTGCAACGGAGACTGTACAAATAATGTAAAATAGATCATTTCTTGGCAACAAGTTCCCTAAATAATCAGGGAAAATTAACAAAAATTGGGAGTGGGGTTGAACTAAAGAAAAATACAAGAAATGTCAAAAAAAAATACAAATTACTATGTCCTCAATTATGAGAAGTGAAAGAAACATTTTTGTATAGCTGCTAATTATAAAGAGTTTGCCTTGATTATTAATTGTGGATGATTGAGTAATGCTTCTTGCTGAGTAAGCAGAAGCAGATGAATGGAAAACTAATTAATATAAATTCAATGAATACAGAGGCTGATGAATATGAATGAGCGAGCAAATGGAAAATAGGAATTTTACAGAAGAGCTGTAAAAGAATATTAGCTGCAAAATATTTTTACAGTCCTTCTAACTACAGCTGAAAATAGACAGAGGTTACTCCATAATTTACCAACCATGCTTCCAATTATTCTGATTCTGTTTGTATCCTTGTCAAAAAAATAAAGCGTAGATATGCAGCAAATGTAACTTCGCTACAATCATCATCATCTTTTAACCACTCCATAATCCCTTGTGGGATGGAGTCTGGGCAACTGAATGGAACTAGCAGAGTGTTTAATGGCCAGATGCCCTTCCTGTCGCCAGTGCTGAGTTTTGTTCAGCAGATATATTCTCATTGTGCCCAGAGAGAGAAATATCTGCCTCTACCTAGGATCGAACTCTCAGCCTCCTGATTGTGAGGCGAGAGCTCCACCTCTGGGCCATCGCACCACTCCATGCAACTTCTCTACAATGCTAAGAAAAAAAGGAAGTAAAGGACTAGATCAGTGAGTGGCTGTATTCTAACTCAGAAAAAGAACAAACTTTTCTTGGATCAAGCAAAAGAGGCAGTAAAGCAAAGAAATAACATTGGGGTGGGGGGGAGTGATATGCCAAAAACAAAGGAGTGGAAGGGAACCTTACTCTATAGAAAACACTGATGAACCAGAAGCAAGAAGCAAGATGCTCTGGGCTGATAGGATTAAGAAGAGCTTTAAGACCATCAAGAATGCTCTTACAGTGGGAGACCATGATGAGCAACATATGAGAAATAGGAGCACTTCAGAGCAGAACAAATGGAATTAATACCTGCAAATGAAGAAAGCGGAGAATTGTAATTGTGATTAGCTATGACAAAGAATCAAAGGTAATGGGCATTAGATGGTTAGGATGCCTTTTAAAATATATTATTTTAGAGTCATGGAATCAAAGGATTGGAAGGAATCTTGGAAGACTTCTAGTAAAATCCCCAAATCTTCCAGAAGTGCAGATTAGGAATGTAATTGTGCACTGCCAAAATTCATCATACAGAAACAAAAGATGCTGCTATGAGTGGCTCCAACTTCTTTTTTCCCCTTGTTACAATACATCTTAATATATTTTATTATTTCAATATAATGATCTTTCTATAATATACAGTACTTAAATATTATGGACATTATATTCTTTAGATAATATTGAAAATAGAGAAGAAAAGAAGGTGTTCAATAAATATTAATTACAATTTAGGATATCTGCATTACAATTTTATATAAAGTTGCATGTAACAAAAAATCAGTGACTTTCATCACACTTTTGATCATAAATTAATTATTTAATATTTAAGTCTTATTGTAAGTAGAGCAAATTTAACAAGAACTAAAACACCAATACAAGTAATCCTCAACATTTAGTGACTCTTCAAAGTTACAATGGCACTGAAAAAAGCGATTTATGACAATTTTTCACACTTATATAACCATTGCAGCATCCCCAGTCACAGATCAAAATTCAGATGCTTGGCAATTGACTCATATATATATGATGGTTGCAGTGTCCTGAGCTTTTGTGATCTGACAAGCAAAGTCAGTGGAGAAGCCAGATTCACTGAACAGCCATCTTACTAACTTAATAACTGTAGTGATTCACTTAACAACCGTGGCAAGAAAGGTCATAAAATAGGGCAAAACTCACTTAATGACTGTCTCATTTTGCAAAAGAAGTTTTGGGCTGAATTGTCATAAATCGAGGACTACTTGTAATTAGAAAAAAAACCCAAATTTAGCCAAAAGCTGAGTGAAAGTTTGAAAAACAAGGTGGAACAACAACTGATGACCTCCTTTTTTACCGGTCCACGATAAAAAGCGCCCTCACTTATTGCATTACGGTATGGTATGCTGGCTTCACAGCAGCAGATAGAAAGACATTGCAGAGAGTGATGGGCGCAGCGCAAAACATCCTAGGCTGTCCCCTAACACCACTGGATGAAATCGCCAGGACTCACTGCCTGGTCAGCACTTTTACTCTCCTACCATCGGGCAGGAGATATAGAAGCATACATAGCCAGTCGTGCAAACAGACTGAAGAACAGCTTTTATCCATGAGCTGTCAGACTCCTGAATACAAAATAACATCATAACTATGTATAGACTTGCAGGCCGGCGCAATGTGCAACATGTTCACATTGGTGCAATACAATGTAATGTTGTGTACATATATAGTATCTCACAGAAGTGAGTATACACCCCCTCACAGTTTGTAAATATTTAAGTATATATTTTCATGTGACAACACTGAAGAAATGACACTTGGCTACAATGTAAAGTAGTAAGGATACAGCTTATATAACAGCGTAAATGTGCTGTCCCCTCAAAATAAATACTGTATGTATAGAGGATTGTGTTTGTTAGTATAATTTACTGGGTTAGGGATTTTCTTATTGAGATGTATTGCAGGGGGGGATGTGTGCACTAAGGGAGGGTCAGCCAATCTCATTATACACATATTGTGCATTGACAATAAAGGTTTGTTTATTATTATTCATTACAACAGTTAATTTTTTCTTAGAAAAGTCACTTCCTTTAAAATAAGTAAATATTAAGACAGGTATAACTTACTAGGTCTTTTGTAGGACTTTGAACACGGAAGAAAAATACCACCAAGGAAGTGGGGAGAAGTTCCCACACAAACAAGATTATTCCAAATACTATATAACCAGCATCGCCCAACTGGCATTTCAGATCTGCCTGTTGCAAAGTTAAAGGGAATTTAAAATAGTCAAATATTAAATGTCTGTAAGCAGATAGCAAGATGAAACCTTATCTGACAAGAAATTTCCTAAGATTTCTGCAGCCTCCAAATCTAGATATTTTCCAAATTTTTTCAGCCTAACTAAACAAATATGCATCTATCTGAACTATCAATATTTATTGCTGAGTACATTCTTCCAGTCAGAACATTTCAATTAGTGGATACTTACTGAATTGTATCAATACTACAATCTGTATTAGAACTATAGCCTGAATCAATTGTGGATAAATTGATTTAATCCAGAATCAATCAGATTGACTAACACATAGGTAATCTACATGTGAATCACTTGAAAGCATGTCACATTTAAATACATTTTAAAATAGATAATAGGATTAACTCTTCCTGTTACACATTTCCCTTTCTTCTAAACTGTTAGTCCAGAATAGGAAAAGTTCCCATTGGCTTATCTAATATATTGTAAAATTTTCATCACAAAGCTAAACTGAATGAAATTTAAAATTCTCCATGGTTAAAGTATTGCTGGCATACAATACCCCATTAAAATTACAGTAAGCCTAACATTTCAACTCCGCTCATTATGATTTTCTCAAATATTTTTTTTTTGCAAAGAATAAAATGATTTATGGCTTCCCTGGTTTTAACATACACCAGGCTATGATTGCCACATATAAACATTTCCTACATCTTTCATTGAAGATTCCATTCTCATTTTTGTTAAAACGATGCCAGTAGTCTTATCTTTTGTTTTTCTTGACATATGTAGTTAAAAAATATTGAGCTGGTAACTGCAATGATGTGGGAGTGTGGAGGAAGGATGCTTTCTTTTACACCATTAAGTATAGGTATCTAAAGCATAGATATTGTCAGAAGAAATTGCTACATAGTACTTGCCTGATCAGATACATTGTACCAATCATAATCAAAAGAGTTCATTGCCTTATTTTGAGAAAATGATAGAATAGTCAGATTGTAACAGGCTCTTGAGGTATACAGTAGTATAACAGTTGCTCCTATTGTTGTTAACTGGCATACTGATGAGCCCTAAAGAAGATATTAAAACACAGATATTAAAACTCACTTGTCTTCGTAAATAATGCACAAAATATTAGTATAAGATGAATGTCACAAACTGTTGATGTTGTAACATTTTTATATCTGTTGTCTTTTTAAAATTATAAAAGATTAATAAAGTTTCTTTAAAAAAAACCTCACTTGTCTACTGATAACTGAAACATTAAACATTATGCTTTGTAATTCTGCTGGAATCCAAAAGTGCTGATATACCTTACAATATATTTCCTTGGAAAAGTGAAAGCCATGGTTTTTTTGGTGGGGCAGGATAGAAGGAAAAAAAACAAGGAAAGATTGTCTATTTAATGTTCCACACTGGAAAAATATATATCACACCATAGTGGAATAAGAAGTAAATATAATTCAGAAAAAAAAGTTTAAGTTCTGCAAATAATTCCGTCTGCTTTTTGTAAAGCAGGAAGATAGATATGCTGATATTACTTAATCTACTGGTCAGGAGTTATTATTATGCATATTTCTTGGACACCTGGAAAATGTTCCTCATCTTTTTTTAAATGTAATTTATAAAATACAACCAACACAAAAAGGGTTATTTATTTAGCTCCTATATCATCCCTGGAGAGAAAAAGTGAGATTCGTTGGAAAAAAAAGACCCTTTTTTCTCTATCTTTATAGAACCATTTGAAAAGAATAAACTCTCAAGGAATAAACATGAGCACTCTTGGTGTTAAAAGAGAAAGACCCTGATTTCATTCCAAGTAAGAATATAAGCAGTCTGCTTAATCAGTTCTAAAGCCTCTTTTGTCCACTTATTCCTTCATTAAATCTTCAGTGATGGAAATGAGAAAGCTAATACAATCTTTCATTAGCTGCTAAGCAGTGACAGATGGAAGTTCATAAACACATTACAAAACACAAAAAAACTAAGATGTACTGTACCTTAGATTCCAAGTAAATATTTGCTAAGGTCATTTTGGAAATCTTGTAGAGACAAACCGAGAGTGAGATGGCACAGAGTACAAACAGAGTGTCATTTATAGCAACCCTGACCAATACAATTATCCTCCTTTCTGAATTTTCTAATTTCACAAGCACAGCACATGTTAAATTCACCAGCAGGAAAAGTAGACTGACCACAAAAGACACCACGTAGAGGGGTAACCTAAGCAAGGAGAGGGAAAATAGTATTAATTCTGCAATTATTATTTTTAGCAAATATTACTACAATACTAAATCACTCTTCCCCAAATTGGTATCTTCCAGGTGTGTTGGGATTCCAAGCTGCTTAAAAAAGACTTCGTGTTGCTCAGTTTTTCCCAGCAATGCATAATATGCCCTCTCTTATAAAATAGCTTAGAGGCTTGATCAATGGTGGGATTCAAATAATTTCTCTGCCCTAATGATTTCTTCCAACAGCCAGTTCACCAAACTGCTCAGAAAGTTAACAACCGGTTCTCCCGAAGTGGTGAGAACTGGCTGAATCCCACCACTGGCCTTGATTCTGTAACCCAAATTTCCCACCATTGAATTTTCAGGATTTCATTGACTGTATCATGTCATTTCTAAAGTGACTAATTACTGTTGTTTGCACAAACCAAGTCTTAACTAAATTTTCTCAGGAGATTATTAAGCAAATTAAATATAATTTTAATTATTAAAAGTAATTAAGCTTTCTTAGTTGTGCCTATCATGGAACAGCCTCTCCCCCCCCCCAAGACATGGAAGGTCCAAACCCACTTAATCTTCCTGAAGGATGTGAATACCTGACTCTCCCTCCAGGTACTTAATTAGGATGATAATGAGCCCAATATAAGTGTAAGTTTCTTATGGAGCCCAGCTGTTGTATTTTGTCTATTTTTAACTTGGTCTGTATTTGTGTTTTGAGATCTTATTATGTATTTTATGATAACTGTTGTTAGCTGCCCAGGGTAATGCATGTCCAGTAAATGGGCAACTTTGTAAATTCTCTAAATGAATTAATAAAACTAATTATTTCTCAGAGATACATGGACATGTTTTTATTCCTAGAAATTAAATAAAACATGTCCAAATAGTATGCAACTGCTTTTTTTCCCTTCATTCATGGTGGAAATATGTTTTTACCTGTATTTAAGTAATTCTGGTGAGTATTTAGATTTAGCTTTGAAAATCACCTGTAAGAAAATGAGACTGTGTTATTAAACATGCAATGCATAGTAGGGCTGGCACTCTCTTGAACTGTGAATTCATTTTATTTCAGATGGATGCCTTGGGCACATACGTAGCAAAACCATTGTGCAGTTTCTGCATTCTTGCTTTCAGATTTGCAAATAGACAATTTTCTATGTGGCAGCAAAATTTTATTCATCAGTGTGTTTACAGGAAATATATATATATATTTATCCTAGACAAAAAAAAAACCCTGCAGAAGCAAAAGTAGCTTTGTATGCAATCAGATAAACCAAGCAAAAAGAATAACTATAATCATCCATTCAAGGGTAGCTTCTTTTGAAAGGAAATAATTCTGTAGTAGTGCTTGTATTCTACCCCAGTTCCCCAACCTTTCTGGCTTTGCGGGGGGAGGGAGGTAGAGGAAATGGTTCCAGGCAAGTGATGGGCAAGCACATATGGATGCATGCAGTTGCCAACTGCTTGTGCATGGGGGAATTCACATGTGCAAACACTTGCCCACCATTTTGGGTGGCCCAGTTCCCAACAGCTCATGGCTCAGTAGTGGGCTGTGGCTCGGGGGTTGGGGACTCCTGTTCTAACCTATCTTTTCATTCCGTGGTGGTCCAATTGCTTATGCTCCAAGATTAAAATAGGAAACTCTGTCTCAGGTTGAGTTCAAGTTGTAGGAACTGCTTGGATTCAGCCAGTTAATTTCTTGGTATTTTTGCCACTTATCTTCCTCTGGAGTGTTTTTCAACTTTCCAGTCCAATACACTACCCTGGGATTGCTTGATAATCTCTCAGACCAGGTGCTGTCCCCTGCTAAGATCAAAGAAATGGTCAATGGAGCAAATGAGATTCATGCAGGTCAGAAAAGCACCAATGCTTATTTTCATGGTTTCATGATTGTTATCAACCCTTCCTGACTACTGCCTAGGACTTCCCTATCTCTAGCTTTTTTGCTTGAAGATTGGTTTTTATCAGAGTTAGTCGCAGGCAGATGGGTACTCTATTCCTCAGTTCTTTTGCCCCACTTTCCTTAAAATATTTTGCCCTGCTTTCCTTAAAAATAAAAAACCCTCAAAGGCATCATCATCATCTTTTTTGTTCCATTATATAACATAGCAAAAGTAGGAACAGAGCATATTGAAATAGGCCTCATATACAACTTTGGCACTACAAGAAGTAAAGTAATGCTGTAAACTTATTTATCTCCCATGTTCAATTTATTCTCAGAAATGTCAGTTTCTCTTCCATGTATCTCTGTGGTGCACGCTTCCTCAAACTGGTCTCACTTCAGATTTGTAGCTTTCAGCTGCTAGAATTCTCATCAATGATTGAGGCAGTTTTGGAGTTAAGTCTACATATCTTGAGACTGCTTAGCTCTGTCACATATTTCAGAAGCAAACAGAAAATCTGTTACTCATAATTATGAATCATGCTTAATAAGAACATTCAGACCTTTGGAGAAGAAACACACTTTTCCTCAAAATTTTTAATATCCTTGAATGCTAACTCTGGACCTGACACCCTCCAGTTAGTACAAGAACTAAATAATCTCCCCCCCCCCCATGAGATCTGCACCTTCCTTTCTGGGTGAAGCCTTGACACTTCCATATGGCCAGGAACTCCAAAGCGGGACTGGCACCTTGAGAAGCGCTAAATGGATTAGTCAGACCCCACCTCCTCCCCATACCCACTTTGCTCCTTTCCTTTCCATCTGGTTAACTGAGTTTTCATTTTAAATGTATGTTTCTTATTCTTTTTAATATTTTATATGGTATTTTAATTGTATGCATATAAGCCACCTAGAGTTACCTCAATGAGATGGATAGCAGAAATTTAATAATAAATACCAATAAAAGAGAAGATTGGTAGCTCAGGGTTGGAATGAAGGCTCCTTAGTGCTTTACTTTCCTTAATGCATTACCCAACTAAGTAACACCATCAGTGCTGGGAAGGTGTGCAGTTTGCTAAGTTTATATTCTAGTGGCTTGCCTGTCAGTGTTGGTGGGAGAGGTCTTAGAGATTCTTTGGTTGGGGCTGTTTGCTCTTGTCTTCTTTGGCAGTTTCTTGATTGGGGTATTGTTTACTTAATTGTTTGTCTGATGCTAAGCTTGGAGTTCATCTGTGCTGATTACTGGTGGAGAGGTGCTGGAATCCTGTTTGGGGGGTGGTGGTGGTTTCTTTTGCATAATCTATAGATGTTGTTAATGTCTGTGTAGCTATTGATGGCTGGTGTGACAGATTCCCTGGCATTTTTGGACTTGGCCTGCTCTAGGATTGTTACATTTTTTTCCAATTGAAACTATGGTTGAATCTGTCTATATGTTGTAAAATTATAGAATTGCCATTTAATTTGACAATCAAACAAGCAAGCTCAGAGAGCACCAAAGACCCCTCATTTCATAATAAATACATAAAATAAAACAATTCCAAGTTCACAACTTACTAAGAATCAAACAAAGAGAAGTCACAAATGGTCAGTTCCTTTTTAATATATGATGGGTGATTATATGTTGGGCCAATCTATACAATCAATTGGCTTGGCTTGGAGTGTTCTGATCCACTTTTATTGCATGTGTGTTCTTCCTAACCCATCTCAATTATACTATTTTCCTGAATATCCTCTTCCCTTCCCTAGCTGTTTTTAGGGTGGTTCTTTGGAGAAATTATAGCTTCTATACATAGCTACCATGCACAATTGATTATTAAACACTTCTATCCTGGCACCATTTTCAGAAACCATTTGACGATGAGCCATGATTGTCTTCACTTCTGTAGATGGGTGGCTGAGAATAAGAAGGTAAAATCTCATTCCTGCCCTGTTGCAAGCTTTGTAGCGACAAAGAAATGCCCACGCTCTCACTCCACATCTCAGGAGCTGATGCTGCTGAGATGTAGAGAAAGCAAACTGTACTAACAATACTATAAGTAGGAAAACACCTGTAACCCTTCAAATAACTTCTCTTCCTTCATTCACAATGCACAAGTTTCATAATGGAGTAGTAGTATTCCTTGCTATATGCCAAAGAAACAGCAATTCCTTTTCCTTTAAATACCACCATCATACATGTATATCTCACAAACCTAAGACACCCTAGCTAGCTTAATTTACCAGAAACATCAGCCTTGTGGCTGTGTTAGCAACTCACCTTACATCTCTCCCCAAAACCACTTGGAAACTGAAGACATATTCACCAAGCAGAGGCATTTCTAGATATGGATGGACAAATTTAAACAATGGACATTCGAGCTAACCTATCACTCCTATGGGTGACCTGATTTTCCAGATTCCTTTAGTATCAGTTTAGCCTAAGACTGTATCATAGGAAAAGTCAGTTTGAGATGGGATGTATAGTCATGCAGATTTTGGTCTATCTACTGTATGTCTATGATTCTTTCCATTGCCTAGCAATGGAAAGAAGGCTGAGTCATAAATAGTATTATTGGATTTGATAAGCATCCCTCACAATCATGGAAAAAAACATTTGTTTCAAATGAAAGATCCTTTAAAAGGGACTACTATATTCTGCATCTTTCTCTAAATATATTTTGTTCCATTTCCTCCTAACCTTTTCCTAATGTATCGTATGTTCCAATTCAGTAATCATATTATCCAATATTTTTATTATCCTCTAAATCTCCATATGTTTCTACTAATCTAAAAATGGAGATTAAACTATAATTAGTAACTCCCAACTTTGCACAGGAAACTTACTGTCTTCCAAAGCCTAGGGATGATGAGAGTTGTAGTCCAGCACAGCTGGGGATAATGCCATGGAGAGTACTTCTATACAGGTAGTCCTTGACTTACAACCACAATTGAGCCCAACATTTCTGTTGTTAAGTGAAACATTTGTTAAGTGAGCTTTGCCCCATTTTACAACCTTTCTTGCCAGAGTTGTTGAGTAAATCACTGCAGTTAGTAACATGGTTATTAAGTGAATCTGGCTTCCCAATTGACTTTGCAATGGTCATAAGTATGAATCACTTGCCAAGCATCTGAATGTTGATCACATGACCATGTTGATGCCACAATGGTCATAAGCGTGAAATACAGTCATAAGTCACTTTTTTCAATAGTATTGTATCTTTGAATGGTCACCAAACAAGCTGTTGTAAGTTGAGGACTACCTGTATGTTATGACCCAATTACTATATGCTGTAGTCAAGCAAGAAGGAAAAAAAATAACCATGCAGAGTTATATGCACCCAGCAATGCATATGAATAGGATTCTTAGCCTTGAGATGCCAGGGCATGAATGGCATATATCAAAGTTAAATGAAAAACATGATATATAACACAACCAATTATTATTATTTTTGGCTGTACATATCATGTTCAAATCAGGCTTAATTGAACAGTTTTATCTGGGTGCTTTAAAGGACAAAAACACAGAATAACATTCATGTACAAACATATACAGAACAGAGGGCTTTGATAAAATAGTATTCATTTAAAGGTCGAAACATTCTCAGATTAATCTTGATTGATGGATACATTCATGCAGTTTTCTCGGCAATAATCCAAAAGTGAGTTGCCATTGCTTTATTCCAGGATGTTTTTTAAATTTCTCAGCCTAGCCTACAGCCCTGCTATTCCCTGTTGACGATAGGATACGGCAAACAGCCATAAAAGTGAGTTGTTTGCCAAGCCCTAAAATGCAATCATATGATTTTCATAGATGACAGAGAAAGTGTTCTCACCCTTCACTTTCAATTAAACTGTATACAGAAGACAAAAAAGGACAAAAGAACAGAAACAGTCCAATGCATGCGACAAAAATTGTAATTGATAGGATAACATAAATCCTAATATAGGTGGAAAAACATGTAAGCTAAATTCTAGTCCTAAAGTAGAATAGATATGGATATGAATACAGAAGTGAATTGAACCAGTGTTTTGAAACCAGGTTTATGCTTCTTCTGTATTTTGTTGGAGAGAGAGACTTTATTGAATTTATTGATTGATTGAATTCATTTAAAATACAACACTTCAGAGTAGATCTGCATTATATGTAATACAAACAGAATTTTTCAATATATTATCCACTTTGTCGGTCAATTTTGTCTGTTTGTCTAAAATAGTATAAAATCTGCTTGAGCAGGGGGTTGGATTAGAAGACCTCCAAGGCCCCTTCTATTATTCTGTTAATCTGTTATTATGAGAAAAGAGTAAGATTCAAAAAGGATACAATTCGGCTTTCCACCACTTTTTTCCTACAACTTCTTCCTCTTAAGCTGTTCCCGTCATGGCTCAAAATCTAAAAATAAACCCAGCTAAGATAAATAGTCATAGAAGCAGAGGTTGCAAGAAAGAGTTGAAAGGCAAGAACATACTAAACTGCCTTTCTTCTTTCTTTCATTCCTTCCATCCCACATTTCCATCACCATGGTCTCAATAGGTTGCAGCACGTCATCAACCTTGTCTGGACATGGGGGCTAAGCAGGTCAGCCCTAGCTAGTTGGAAGGGAGGACTATCAGGACACCCCAGAATCTGTAGGCTAGAATGGGAAGTTGAAAAGTGCTGTGAAAGAATGAGATGGCAAACCATTTCCAATATCATTGCCAAGAAAACTACATAGATGTACCCATAAAGTCACATGAGTCAAGCATGACTAATATTTTGTTTTAAACTTGTATAAAAACTATGGGATTTGAAATCCAACACACCAGGAGCACCACATTGGAAAAGTCCTTCATAACAGATTGAAAGAAATTTCTGTCAATTAACACTTTGTTAATTATACATTCTTGGGATAATTTCAGTGAGTCTTTTAAATTATTTCTTCTGTCCTATTAATGAATAGTGTCATTCCCCTGTCAGAATCTGATTCCGAGGGGGAGGCCAAGCAACTGATAAGGAGTGGGAGTGTGGCTCTGTTAGCTGTGGAAGAAACCGGGGAAGGGCAAAGTCTGGCTGGGCAGAGCAGGGGAGAGATAGAGCAAGGCTGAGGGAATTCAGAGAAAGATCCAGGCCCACCCCCTCTTCATCCTAGGGCACACAGGGAGGAACAGAGAAGGAGCAACGTGAGTTGCTTGGCTTATGGGGGAGGAAAGGGCCCTGATTCCCTTAATTAGCTGCAGCTGGGAACACAGTGTTTAAAAAGGGAAATTGCGCACAGCAACTTGTTGGAAGCAAATTGTGAATGATCTGTTATTGTCAAGACTTATCTGAGTTCCTGGCATCTTCCTAACTGTGTGCTTTGCTGGCGTTTCAGGTCAGGAATTCTTTCTCCTGCCCTGTCAAGTTAATTACTCCAGCGTGGTTTGTGTGGATTTTTATTTACAGTTTGTAAGTATTTTGTTTTCAGACTGAATTTCCTCCACTTAAAGACTGTTCGTGGGAGAGTTTCTTTCTCCAGCCGAAGGTAACCTGGACATTGGGGGCAAAGTTGGAGATATTAAAGGGACTCTTCTTACTGTGTTGCCTTGTGCCACACCCTGGGTCATCACGAATAGTGTGTAGAGAGGGAATTCTTAGCAGTTTTATTAACATTTAGTAACTTGTTCACACCAAGCAGAATGGATTTAAGGCACACTGAGGCACAACCTGTCTTTTTATTTGGATAAAGTTTGCCTCTGGATTGAGTGTGTTCCTCGCCTCCCTTTTACACTTGCCCATGCATGTCTGATGTGACAATGTAGGTGTAATATTTAAAGGGGTACTCTGTGGCAACAGGCAGACTTACAAGCCAAACTTGTCACCTGATATTTATCTGAATCTCTTGACTACAGTAAGTAGAATACAATCTTAAACGTGTTTACCCTGAATCACAATTTTAAATGTGCTTCTCTGAATCAATTCCCATTATCTTCGGTGGGAATTATACACAGTGAAATAAATATGCAAGAACAGCAGTTTGTGAATGACTTAGTACAGGGGTATCAAACTCATGTCGCCACAGCATCATCACATGACATATCACGACTTTTTCCCCCTTTGCTAAACTGGGTGTGATGCATCTGGGCCGTGGGCCGCAAGTCTGACAGCTCTGACTTAATACCATAGATTTTGGCTTTATTCTACCTAAATGCTTGTTATTTATTCACAAAACAGTAGCCAAACTATTTGTTAATGCAATGTGTGAACCTGGTTATATTCTTTCAGTTTAGCCTCTAGCAAATAAAATATGCCAAAACTTAATTGGTTTCTGTGTAATGCTTTTGCAAGTCCTTGTTTTCAACACATTAGTAATAAAATTTAATCTCATTTGCATGTAACAAAAGACTGGTATATCTGTGAATATTAAGGCACTTTTAATTAATGATTCTGGTCCAATTTCACAATCATAATAAAAGTTATAAATCATAATAATATGAAGCACTGAAGCTAAACCAACCTACCATTTATCTGAAAAAACAACACTGAAGTCAATGAGACCCCTCCCTACTTCCTATTTTAAAATAATGTTCTGCTTAACTTCTTTAATATTTCAGTAATTCCTTTTCCTTGCTCGTTTCTATAAAAAAAAATCTCAGCAAAGCCTACTTTTTACCAAATACTAAATTTATCATTGATATTCCTTAGCATTTTTAATGTATGACTCATTAAAAGTGTATAATATGCATTTCTTTCAGAAATTCTTTCAATTATTCACACACCACTGCAAAACAGGGTTGCTGCCTCTCTGAGCATGTTGTTAACTGAAATATCCTTAAGAATAGTTTGAGACTTCCTATCTCCCTGATCCCATTTTAAAATTTTGCACCCACACCAGTGCTCAAGAAAAGATTTGCTTTGCATGTAAAATCATCACTGCTCACTTAACAACAGGAAAATAAAATTAAAGACACCACTACATAACGCTCCATTTGTGAACGAGGTAATTTTTGGTGAGGAGAAAGAGGAAGGGTTTATTCCTAAATGGACAAAACAAAGCTTGATGGAAATCTTGCATCAAAGTAAATGGCCAGAAATCTTGGATTTATCCTATTTTTCCTCTCCCTCCTCTTAAGAACTACCGAAATCCAGATTTCCCTGCTGCGTTATATTGTGAAACCTTGTAAAATCAGCTGGTCTGTCCAACTGGCTGAGTAAGAAGTTTTTTTGTTGTTGTTGCTACCGTCTCTGTCTATAAAATTAGAGCTCCTCCTCCAAATGTCCACTTTGACGAGTCAATATCCACCCCCACAGCTTCGATAAACGGCGATTCTAACTAACATGAGCCCCCCTGACATTTCCTAAAGTGAGGTATTCGCACAACATCGCGGCGGTGCGATCTCTTGCCTTAGCACCGCGCCAAGTCCGGCCGAGACCCGAGCGCGGGAACGGCCCTCCGTCCCTTACCTGGGTGAAGTAAAGGTTCATAAGCGTCAGGGTGAAAAACTGGAGGCACACCGGGAAGCAATAGAGGAGCCAAAAGGCGAAGGGACTGAGAGAATTGGCGGCGACAAAGTCCTTGAAATAAAAGGAGAAAAGCACCGTCCGAAGAGAAGCCCAGAGCAGGCACAGAAATAAAAAGACCGTCTGATAGCTAAACCTTTTGTGCCGGTAGTGCAGGACCAGCCAGAGCTGGACGTAAATGAAGAGGAAAAGGAGCGAATAAAAGACGGTGTAAACCACGGTGAGACCCAGCTTCACGTACGGAGGCACAGCCGGGCTCAGAGTAGGCAGGAGGCTGCCGTTCCTCAGCGCGTCCCATTCCAGGGCCTCCATCGGGCGCCCGGGATTCGCGGGCGGGCAGAACTCGGGCTTAACTTCGCCGACAGTGGCTCCTGTTGCTGCCGCCGCCTTCTTTCATCTTCGTCAGGAGAGGAACCGAGCGAACGAAAACAACCGGCACTTCCTCTTTGGCAGCGCACTTGGTGGCTGGAAGCACATGATCTCGGGGCAGAGGGATTCATTGGTGCGTCCTCCGTCAGCAGTTGGCCAGGAGCAGCGCGGAGAGAGGGGAGCCGCTGTTTGGGACGCCCCCTTCGCTGGCTCTCGGACAGGGAAGGGTGTTTCCCCCCCACGCTTCGGCCGCTCCCCGGTTTTTGGCACAGCTTTGTTCTTGAGCAAGGGGCCTGCTGGGCGACATTCCAGTGCAGCCCAAGATGTCCCACTGTCTTTTAAGTTGGCGATCTTCTTACGCAGCTCATTACATCTTCCTCCTCCTCAGTCGTGTTTTCTTTTTTTCTGCTGGGGATGCTGACTGTTCTTGAAGGGGAAAATGGATGACTTGTCTTGTTCGCGTTGGATTTCCACTTGAGGAAATGCAGAGCCACAGTAGAATAACTTTTACAGAGCCCCCTTTACCGTACTTGGGAGTGCCAGTTTGTTGAAGAAAAGAATGTTTTTCAAGTAAAAATGCTATGTTGAGCATTTATAGTTGCACCTATTTTCAGTCTGCCAATCCCTGACTTGTGAGGTATTTTTAGTTGCTTAATTTGTGGGTCCTGTCAATTGGTCTTGCAAATTTGAATTTGTCCCTAACAGATTGGGTGTTGGATGTCAGAGAAGCCTAGAAGGCAAAACAATTTTCTCTCTTCAAAATCCTGTATTAAGTCCAATTAGATGCTCAAGAAGAAATCTATTATTTATCAGAACTGCCGGGAACATCAGTGTAGGGATTTCACTCCTGTTATGACAAACCCTGGAGGTTATGTTGTATTTGTCAACTGGATATGGGAGAAATATAGAATAAAAGTCTGCCTATGAGATCAGTTATAGCCCCTTCAATTTCATGCCTTGGGCAGAGACATGCTACATCAGGAGGGATACTATTTTAAAGATAACAAAACAATTGTACATCAGAGATTCTTCCGAGCAAAGAATTGAAAGAAATACCCAAAACTAGAGCCTTGTTATCAGAGGTAAAGATGAGTACATTAACTTTAAATAGATTAGCAACTCCTCCTTTTATATTATCTACCTTTAGTGATAGAATTTTGTTTTGTTCAGTAGAGGAGTAAAGAAATGTAATTTTAATAAATATGTTTACTTATAAACAAGAAACAAAAAAGCAAAAATAAACCCATTATTTTTTTTAAAAAAGGTTAAGAGCCAGTGAGTGAAATTCTAGTGGCAGTGGCTTAATTAGCACATTTGGGTAAATCCAAAAGTTAAGTTTCAAATTGTCCTCCTCACATAGTTTCGGAATAGATAAAAGATAAGGTAGGAGTGGGAATGCAATTGTCACAAAATCCTGGAGAAAAATGTGTTTGTTTGGCTATTGGAATTCAAATTACTTTTAATCTCACTTATTGCAAAACACTAGGATGTGTTACAAGGACATAAAAACAAACAAAGCTTTACTATAGCAATAAATGAGTGACTCTGGATGATAAAACTATAAAATAATAATATAAACAATAATAAAATTAAAAATCATGGTTAAAGGCTAAGGGAGAACTGCAGATGTCAACAATAATAGAGCCACCTCAATACCTGATTGGGCCCTCATCTCTGCAGTCCTGATGGCAAAACCAGATTTTGAGGGACTTTTAAAAGTCAATAGAGTCTCATTTCAAGGAGGGAGGGGATGATGTTCTATAAAGTGGGCCTCATGGCAGCAAAGGCATGCCTCTGGGACCCACTGACTCCCTGTGGTGGACACCCCCACAACATTATGCACTGCGTCTGTTTGAGACAGGGCAATCCCATTCAACACCAAAGATGGTAAAGTCCCAGATCAGGAAGGCTCTAAAACCCAAAGGTGAGCAAATAATTAAGCAGCTAATACTAGACTGGATTAGGAAGACCCTGGTTTAAGTCTTCTATTCAACCAGAAGGTCATAGGATGAGCTTGGAACAACCTTTTTGATCAGTCTTTTTCCTTGGGTTGTTATTTGGCTAAAATGAGATAGGTATGTAGGATGTATGTTTATAAAAAAAAGGTGGGATAAAAATAAAAGTTCCACTATAACATGTGATTCACCATATCCAACAGTATATATGCAATAATTAATCCATCTTTAGAGTCACTTCAGCAAAATGCCACTGCTGGTGGTATCGAAAGACAGTGAGATATCAAACCACTTCACAATCACATAGGAGAACAAACCTATCAGGACAAAATTCAGAAGTCCATCTACATTTGAAAGACAAAGGTCATTATTTTGAAGATAGCAAATCCACATTCTGGACAGAGAGGGCCACTGGTCTGAAAGAGGATCAAAGAGGTCATCTACATTAAGAATGAACAGCCTTGACAGGTATTGATGAAAAAGTGATTAAAAAATTATATCGTTATTTACTGGAAATTAAACTAGAGGAAGAACAAGTTAAAGAAACGATGATTGCTTGGGGGAAGAATTTTGGATATGGGATTGATTTAGAGAAATGGCAAAAATTGTGGTTTCAAAATTATGAAATGACAGTGTCAACAGCATATAAAGAAAATTTGTATAAGATGTTTTACAGGTGGCATTTCCCCCCGACAAGAATAGCAAGAATGTTCAAGAATAAATCTGAAAGTTTCCTCATCTATTTGCACTATTCAGGTGACCCTGAGGGCACAAATAAACCTCCAAAACGCCCTCAAGGATTCTCAGAAAGAGTGCTAACAACAATAAATTCTTCCATCCTCCACTATTCAATCAGAACTGAAAAAGCTTCTTGGATGAGAAGCAAAGTGTTGAAGGAAAAACAAAGTCCAGGTGCCTTTTGAAAAAGCACCTTTAGGATGACCATGACTTGGATGACTGAGAATCTCCATAGACAAAATACAAGCCACCTATTAGGTCATTTAGCTTGTATTAAAAACCAAGGCAGATAAGAGTAAAATGATAAAAAAGAAAGACTAAAATATACCAGTGAACATCTGAGCTCCTATAAACAAGATATCTACACTTTACACCCAAATAACTAAAACTAGACCAGATAATATAGTGTGGACCTTCACTGAGATTGTAGAATAGTAGTGATTTCACCCTTAATGTATTTTGGAAGATTGTCACAACAGACCTCAGGCGGCTTCAGCTTTTTCCAATGCAATCCAATTGTAAAATCCTGGATTTTTATTCTTACATAGCATATTAATTCCAACGTCCAATGTATCTCATTTTCCTTTTGTTACTTAAGCTAAGCCACAGTTTGTTTAATTGTAATTTGTTAATTTAACTAAAACTGGCTCGGGTCACACAACACTGTATGCTGTTATATGTTCATGTACCAGAAGCACAAATTACATTATGTTGCATTAGTGAAATGTGTGAATGTTAATTAGCAAAAAAAAAAAAAAACTTTACTAGCCAAGAATCCTTGTGACTAAAGTGATTGCTTCGTATTTTTGGATCAATTGTTTTTATCTAATATGCAATATATTGCATATCTTATGCAATATATTAGTTGGGTTCTTTTCAATTTGGGAAGATTATATAAATTTGGAAGTAAAATTATAATTACATATGATCCTAAAGTTAGTGTAAACATTAACATCTCTTGAGCTATGCTCACATGACATATAACACAAATTAGCCAAGTGTGTTGGGTAAACTCAGTATAAACACTGTGCTGTTTAAGCCTAGAAAGTTGGGTAAATTGAATACCATGTTTTTCAGAGTATAAGACGCATCCCCCCCCCAAAAGTGGGTGAAAATGTAAGTGCATTTGAAAATGCAGTGAATACAGACCCCCATTTTTGGCCTCCTAAAGCCTCCGTGCATCCCATTTTTGCCCTCCCCAGCATCCAGAAGCACTCCCTGAAAGGCTGAAAACGGGACCCATGCAGGCCTCTGGAGGCCAAAAACGGGCCCATTTTTGGCCTGCAGAGTGCTTCTGGACACCAGGGAGGGCAAAAACAGGACACACAGAAGCAAAAAAAATTTTTTTCTTGTTTTCCTCCATTAAACCAAGGTGCATCTTATAGTCCGGTGCATCTTATAGTCCGTTGCATCTTATAGTCTGAAAAATACACTGAATCATAGCTAGATTAATCATAGGTAAGCTTATCATGCAAACTCAGCCTTTTCACCTAGAATAATTTTCAAATAGCATCCCAAAATATTTAAGAATGGGAGGTTGACTTCAATTTTCCAACAGCATGTTTGATGTCAGAAACAGGGCAGTAGTCTGGCTGAGAGGAACCAGCCCCTGAACCTTGTAAGCCTTATAAGCTGCTGTGTCAAGATGGAAGCCCATAATCACAGAAATTCTACTTCTACTTTGCTCTAGTGTCATGTATGTATAAGCAGGGCAGCTTAAAAACATTTCTTATTTTATGTGTGTGTGAAGAGGGAATGAAAAGGAATCTTCGGAGTTTTCACACATCAAAAATGTGTCAGGATTAAACGTCAGGGCACCAGTACCCTGCAGTACTGGAATTGTGCCAATTTCTACTAGTTTTATTTTCTCTTTCCAAAACAATCTTGCTTTTCCCACCTCCACTGTATGAACCTGCAACTCTTTACAGTAGAGGGCTTCATGGTTATCTTTTTTTAGCGAATTACATCATCTTAATGCTTAATTTCTCAGTGTCAACAACTTTAAAATGTAGGGATTTAAACTCCCAGAATTCTCCATCTGATCTTAGATGACATCCACACATCTTAAAGTTTCTGAGATTGAGAAATATTGTCAAGGCTTCTAATGAGTCTTTTTAATCCTTATAAAAGAACTGCCTACCTATGCAAAATTTGTTCCCCTCAGTCAGGTTACTACTGTTTTGTCTCTTAACAGCAAACAGGCTTTTGGAAAACGGAGAGTGGCTTAATAAAAAGAACCAGTAGGTGTCTCTCTAAAGTTTCTTTTTCCTGTTTAGGCATGTAGAGATTTAAAAAAAAAAACTGTGTCCTGCGGAAATCTGCAAATGAATAGCAGTTTTTTCTTTCCAAAACTTTATTCTAAAA